TTATAGATTATATAAAAAAAAAAGAAAAGAGAAATATATATATATATATATATATATAATTTCATATGATTTATCCATGTGCGGCGCCCTAGCAAAAAAAAATGAATGTCATCCTTAGGTAATTTCGACATTCCGGACGCTCCGGCGCAGTTCATTTTGCCGTCAGAGGTCGCTTCAATGAATTCACCAATTTGAGTGTCAATTTTCTCGTGTCGAAAATATGGCAATATAGGTGTCATTTTCTACCAAAATTGGTATCCCGGACGAGTTGGCGCAGTCCATTTTGTCGTCGGAGGTCATCCGGAGAAGTTCGCATTTTCACCCGTCCTTTGGGCTTAATTGAAGTTCGATTTCGTGCAATTTCGTGAACTTTGTGTATTTGATGTGTGTATGTGACGAAAAAGGTCGTGACGATGTTTTCCTAAGGCTTGAAGTCCTATCAGGAACTCTTCCCTTGAGTCTTCGCAAAATAACCCATAACCGCTCGTTCATAAGACGATGGTCTTGTGCCAAAGATGCTAGACATCAAAGGAAAATAGGAATTGGCTAGAATTTCTAGAAGGGTGAGTCTCAATTCTAGCAATTCTAGTTTTCTAAGACGGTCAATAGGAACTCCTAGAACTAGATCCTAGGCTCCTAAGGAGGAGAAGAGAAGACCTCACAAAAATGAGGTCAACAATGGGTGAGCTCTCTTCTTTAAAATGGGTAAAAGTAGATCAAAAATAAAATTGATACAAGCAATCAACTATAATACCAACCATGCCAGAGAAGGAAAGTTATATTTACAAAGTTGCCAGAAACAGGGAACTTCTGTTTAGCAGAAAGGAGATGTGATAAAAGTTTAGATGCTGTGAATTGTGCCATCTATATCAATTGAGTTTAGAATGTTGAAATTTTTCATTGAGAACCAATTGATGTAATTCAAGTGATGGGTATTATTTATCTCCGGAATGAACAAGTAAATAAATAGCTAGCATGCCACAGATTTTGATGAAATGATATGATCGATAAACTTCACTCATGAGTCATGACAAAATAAAAATATAGATACAGCAGAACAAACTTACTTCAAGTTTACAAATGAAGACAGGATGTCCTTGCCTTTGTCCAGATAAAGCACCCTGTATAGTAAAGAAAAACATAAGAACATTATTCTTGTAGCATAGAAGAAGCATAAAAGTTTTAGCGAGTTGAAGAGTATAATATAAGGCGATCAATGGCTAACAAATGATAATTGATGATGAGTCTAAAAGACCGATCATCATCCTCGATGGCATAATTGATCACTTTTCATTTTTCATATTTCTATTTTTTTTAGCTTTATTAGTAGATGTATTTAAAGGAGTCTTTCCCTTCCCCTCATGTATACACTTCACATCACTCTCCATGAGACATTCTTTCTACTCTTTCTTCTCAATCTCATGTTTTCCCGAAGTTCTTCCTCTTAAGTAATCTTCTCTTCAAAACAATCAAGATTTCAAAACTACAAAATAATTAGATTACTGGCTGACACACTATGGATTGATAGTTAAATGATTAAGAAGAAATAGTTAAGTATAATAAAAATGAAAATATTAAAATAAATGTAAAATAGTAAAAACGTTGATTGAGAAGTGATTATATGACCACTATCAGAAACTATTGCCCATAAGCGGACAGAAAATTGACTTAAACTACTTTGCACATGTATAATAGAGGAAAGTACGCCAATAAGATGAATTAATTAAATCAATTTTAGACGATCTATGCAAAATAGATCAACTTGCATCTATTTTGTTATTTTTTTCATCCCCGCTTGCTGTTATTGAAAAGCTAGGTGGCAACTCTCCACTTCAACCTTCCCAATATAAATCAGCAAAAAAATTATTACAATATTATAATTATTGGTTTGCAATTTCAAGGTTTGCTGCAAACATAGAAGCTTGTTGATGGAATATTTTTAAATCTCATGCATACCATACATAGTCAATCTAAAAGAAGGCCCAATAAAGCCATCTAGCCCAAGACAAAATTAATTCCTATTTTTTAGGTTACTTTGTATCATTAATATAATACAGAAAAATTCAGATTTTACTTGGATGTCCAACCTTATAGTCTAGCAAGAATGCTTAAAAAGAAAAGGCTGGGCCAAAACACACAAAATGTTCGAAATCTGCTCAAATCAATTTGAGCTCAATCTCAAGTTCCACTTCAGACCAAACTGTTTCAAGTCAATTCCGAATTTGCTCTAACTCACTAAAATATAATTTGAGTTGCCTTGAAACTCGGATTAAAATGAGCACTAATTAGAAATATATATTTTATATACAACAATATGCATATAATACATATTGCAGTATTTATATGCATACACACAATTAATTAAAAACCAATTTCGAGTTCAATCATCTGAAATTCAGTTAGACTGTAATTTAAGTTGATCCAAACCGAACTCGCGTGTACCCGACTTGACATCAACCCTATAGTTCATGCTTGAGAATCAAAGTAGTCATTGCTTGGCCTCTTGTGGGTTTCAAAAGTCCAGTTTTAGGGTTAACAAGCTTAGATTTGGCTTAGCTAAGGTCAGCTCGACAAACATAAGCTGTGGGTCTAGATGCAAAAAATAAGCAAAGTTGTATCATTCTTTTCACTGACTACTAAATATTATATATATATATATATAATATTTAGTAGTCAGTGAAAAGAATGATACAACTTTGCTTATTTTTTGCATCTAGACCCACAGCTTATGTTTGTCGAGCTGACCTTAGCTAAGCCAAATCTAAGCTTGTTAATAAGTATATATATGTATGTATGTATGTATGTATGTATGTATGTAAATGTGAAACTTACCTCCCACCATATTTTAACATACTTCGACTGAGGTGGCTGAACACCCGGAACTTGTGTTAGGGGCATATTGATAGCTGTGTTGCTAGTTATCCCAAGAGAATTCATGCTCGACTGCTGTGACATTCCTGGTGTAGGAATCATTGTCCCATGTACTGAAGACATACCAGAAGGTCCAAGTCCATTAATTATGCCAGATGCCATGTTAATCCCACCTTGCCCTGTTTGGCCACTTTGTGACAGGTTTCCTTGACCAATACCTTGCGCAGACTGACCCATACCAATGCTGTTTTGGAGATTAGTCAAAGCTGGTGAAATACCCATGTTTGAGTTTCCTGAAACATGTGAATTGGTTGCAGTAAATGAACCAATTGCTGTGTTTTGAGCAACCTGTGTCGTTGGCATCAAAGCTCCTGATCCAGAAACAGATGTAATACCAGGCATTCCAGATGACGTCATTCCACTAGAAATCATATTTGACATGTGCACTGCCATGTGAGTTCCTCCAATTGCTTGAAGAGCAATAGAATTTGCTCCAGTGATGGAAGCTGAGTTCATCACTTGCCGATGCTGAGAAAGATTGTTCAAGATGTTGACATTGGCTTGAGCCGTGCCAGCAGGGCGCATTGCCTGTGACATAGAATTTACCAATGGTTTATGTTCTTGTATGACTTCACTGGTTACATTCATTTCTTGTGAAGTGGGAGATGGAGAAGATGTCTGCAAGCTAGTTACTCCTTGGGAAGAAACACTAGATATAGGTGGTAGATGTGGATAGCCAGCCCCAGAAACCATAGCTGGCACAGTAGTTGGTTCCTGGATAAGAAAATTTAAGTTTCAGTGCAGAAATTAAAATTAATTACAGTTTCAGGAAAAGAATTTTTCCCACTTTAAATGATTCTGCCCTACCACTTTTATTGCTGCAGAAGGAATATTAGCGGTGGGAGGTTGTCGATTGATCATCGACCCATTAACTGGAAAAAAAAACAGAATTAATCAGCTAATAAAAAAGTAACGCAGAACCAGAATCAAAAACATAAAATGGAACAAAGGGACAATTTTATTGTTCAAAATAGAACTAGAGCTACTTCTCGCCAAAAATTGTTATGAGAACTTCAATTTTTTACATGAAAGAAGAAAAATAAACCTTCAAAACTTCAAACAATTTAAGCAGTGCATGGCTGCAAAGATGAGTTCTAGAGTTTTAAGAGAGTAAACAGATAGTAAACCAGACTGAGCAGGCCAATTGCAGAGCAGACTCGTCATCCTACCAAATTATAACTATCCAGAAGAAATTTTAGGCTAATCATGCTTTAGCATGCTGCAAAATCTGCAAGCATTACTGCGACACATCACTTCATTATTGACAAATGTCACTGGCACCCCATACCTCCAACACAAGTTCAAATTTGAGGTATTTGTTATGGTCTGACCAAATGAAACAATCTGCCATTAATGACTACAGTTCCGGAAATATACATTATCATCATATCCTTTTTTTTTTCTTTTTTTTTCTTTTCGAGCTCTTCTAAGAGATTTTTCAGAGGATGCCTAACAACTGCATGAATACAACAATTACCATTATCAAATAGTTACCAAGTAACCATAAATCTAAAAGAAAGAAGGGTGGAAACGATGTCAAATCAGGCATCCATGTCCAATTTTGCTAAATACTAATCACAAACTCTTCACTCTAGAGGAGGATAAGGATGATTGCATCCATGTCTAATTTATTCAACCCAACCCAGCATATTACAATGGATATGAAGATAAATAAGTAAAACAGGGTTAAGTATTGCAGATATTTCTGGCTGGAAATTACTATGGGTCTTTAATTTATATACAAGAATGTGATCTGAATTTCGTGATGGAAAGAAGATGTCTTAAAGAAATGCCAAAAGTGCACCAGCTCAAGCCAGTTTGAAATCATTTAGGTGATTAAATTAGGGAATGAATTTTAAGAGATATAGATGGTTGGAATTTATGATGGTTAAAATATCTCATGACTTGTCATATATGCTCCTAGATGATAAATAAAAATGTTAAAAAAATGGGAAAATAATCTATACTTAAAATATTCTAAATTTTGGGCACTTAGGGTCCATTTGGGACAGTTGCAACTTATCAGTAAGCTGTTGCGATGCGGCTGTTGCTTCACAAAAGCTACTGCAAATAAGCTGGATGACTGCTTGTTTTTTGCAGTTTGAAAATAGCTATGCGTCAGCTATTTCTGAACAAATGATCATTCAACTCTTATGTAGTAATGTTGTTTGTAACATAACTATCATAGCAATATATTTGATACTTAAGAAGCAAAAATTCACTTCAGAACAATACAAAAAAAGGATATACATCTCATTTAAGTGAGTATCATAAATATTAAAATAAAGAAAAAACTATTAAAATTACATTTAATAATATGATTATATTATTTTTAAAATGTTGACGGCGTATGCCACGAGCTACACCGTCCTCCAGAGATATTATCAATTCTCGATTATTATCGGCGGTGGAATCTGTCAGACTGTTTGTCCACCGGAAAAAGTCACACTTCTCTGTAATTCTCCGCAGACACCTATTGAACTATCTCTCGTAGTTATGTGGCTGACGTGACGTTAGTAGAGAAGTCTGAAGTCCACATTGACACAGTAATCTTCGAGAGGTCCAAAAATCCTAGAGCTCATCTTTCAAGAATACTTTCAAAGACAATCTATTAGTCATAACACAAATTGAAATTGACAAATAAAAGTATTTAATATCAGTTTTGTCCAGAGGTGAGGTCTCAAAGAACTCGGTATAACAAACAACAAATATGTCATTATAAGAAAACAACATACCTTATAAAAAAATTTATTGGCCGTCTTTAACCCAGGTAATATCAAGCTCGTGTGTCACATATACATTTTACCAAAAAAAATCATTCAGAAGAACCTCAAAAACCATAGCAGCTAAAAGAATAGAGGAATGTGATTGTCTTCATTAAGATTTCACATATGACACCAACAACAACGACTAACAGACCATCCGAAAGACCCCATAATGTCAATTGTCTCACTATGGACCTCTCAAACACATCAAAAGAAAAACAAATGAAATATAAAAAAAAATACTTACAAATAGCGTAAAAACTCAAACAATCAATATCAAATAATGAAGAAAAAGAAATAAACTGAATAACATACAAATAATATTGAATAAAATAATATATATATATATATAATGAATACTCGAATCAATGTCTTATTATCGCATCCGGAATTTATTCTCTCAACTCCGCTATCTCGCTTTCATCTTCCCCATCTTTAATATAGGTGGTGGAATCATCATTCTCAAGCTGTGACAAAGAATGTCCAACACGATACTCAAATGCCTCAGCGGGTACATGCTCATGATCCTCGTCCACCCTACGGAAGTTGATGTCATTGCGAGAAGTATGTTGTCAAATATAATTGTGGAGTGTCATCGTGGCAATCACAATCAGCACCTGTTTGGGAAACGGGTAAGTGGCATATAGCAAAATCTAACTCATTTCTTCTTCCAAACACCAAAATTTCTCTCAATGACACCGTGTAATGAGAAATGTCTTTTATTAAATATTTTTTCATGTCTCATGTTACTTTACTGGTTCGCTCAATGTTAAGCATGTGGTATCTTGTATCAGGATAAGACTTGAGATACCTTCGCTACAATAGATATTCAGCATCAACCAAATAGTATTTACCTGATATGTCTTGTATGATTAGTATTGAGGAAAAAATGAATTAGGACATTTACTCAATCACAAGCATACCTATGGGTGAATGTGGGAAGTTGTACTTGTTATTCCGTGTTACAGCTTTGAAAATTCTATTGTCATGTGTACTGCCCTCCTAACCAGGCATGACAAAAGTGCACATGCTGAAGTTGCATACACCATAACATTCTGCGTCGGGGACCAATAACGGCCGATGAATGCGATCTTCTTATTATTTAGAACATGTGCATCAACGTGTATTCTATTGATTGCTCGAATACAATTCTGGAGAGATAATGATGGGTTACATAATAATATTATTTTTTGAAAATTTAATATAATAAATTTGAGAAATTACTTTAAAGAATGGCATATACCGTTTATTATGTGAAATCTCTGTGGGGGTCCGTTCAAACATAAGATCTGTTAGTTTTATGACTTGTGCAAAAAAACTTACAAGTGCATTCAACCCCATTGAGAAGTGTCTGCAAATTATTTCGAATGTGTGTTGGAATCGCTTTATTGCTCCTCGCATTGATTCATTTTATAATAGTAGGTAGAGGGTTATCGCCAACACCTCTCGCGAAGTCGTCCTGGAAGAGCCATGAAGTTCATGATTTCTATATAATTCCTCCAACACATCGTTGAATAACACCTATGTCATGCGGAACATATTGCTAAATCTCATTGAGTACACCGCAAGCAACTCCCCAACCTATTTGTATGCAACATATGAGGATGTCATGCAAAGAGAGTGTTCTATGTACGAGTTATAATATTCGTACATCAAGCATCGGTAGTTGCAACTCTTCCTCTGCGTCTTTCTCTTGTTACATCCATGTAGATCAGTATCATATTGGTTAATACAGAAGCATCAATGAATTAGCTACAATCATATAAGATTAAGAACAACACAATAAACAAAGAAGCGCCACTAAATAAAAGACTTGTACCATTTTGTCGATGAAATATCCAAAGCAAAATGAAAAACAATAAACAAATATAAATGTCCCAAGCGATTGTAAATAAAAATATCTCTCAAATGTTCCTGCATACATAAAAATATCATAGGTATGCCACCCTACGGTCATTGGACATCTTGACGAAAAAATCTTTATGAGTCGGAGCTTGAAAGAGAAAATTAGATTTTCCTAGAAATTATATTGCTCGTACACCAATTAAAGTGTAAAATAATATACTGATCACACACCACACCAACAGATTCCCACAAAGTCGGTGTCGCGCTCACTCGTTTTATATCGCGCCCTCCCTCCCTCCCTCAATGATCAACATCTAAAACTCTCTTACTCTCTGTTTCAAGCACGAGAAATTTGTCTCTTACCAATTCTCTCCATCTTGCTTTCATAATGCTTCATCTTCGCCCCCTTTCTTCCATCTCTTCCTATGATAACAACATCGCTACCATCTAAACTAAAACTAGTTGGCTCTAATACTCCCCACATTTTTTACGAGTCTGTATAACCTTTAGCGCAAAAAATTTAATCGTTGCATACATCTATGATTTCTTCATACATAGTTACAATTTTTATGTGGGACTTCAACATGAACTCATTAAACCAACAACCATTGAATTGAAAGCACTTCCAAGCACTAACACTAATAGGGTAGAATTTTTCATATGCTCTTTATATCGATAAATTTTACTTTTAATATTTTAACAATAAAACGAGCATAAATACAAAAAAAAGTTCACTCATTAACTAGATTCAACTGCCTCACATAAGGATGTGATAATACTTCGGAGACACTTCAGTTATGAAAAATCCACAGAGCCATCAACATATTAAACATGTTCATCTTTATCATCACCTTCATCAATTATAAAATATATGTAAGTTCCATCATTCGCATATGCTTGACCAACTTGCCTCAAGTCCTACTCATTTATTACCGACGCTTGCTCTTTCAACTTATAAATATTTGCTTGGAATTCACTTCAATCAACCGCTAAATTCCTTTTATTATAGTTGACACACACACATGAAAAAAAAATTTGAATAGATATAAATATTACATGAATAAAAATAAAAGAACATATTCAATAATTATTTGTGCCAAGAGGAATTGATGTCCGCCAAATGATACATAGTTTTTAACATGAAACAAAATTTATTCTTATGAGTCCCTATAATTGTGTCTATACGATCTATAACAACATCAAGATTAATACATTTGTGAACCATCAATCATTGCTTTGTATTCTAACAAGCACCAATTTAGCTATTTCTATACACCCACCATCATACACACAAGAATATTGATTTTAGATTCACTGCCATAAGAAGAAAAAAACTCTAACACAAACACAAAAAACCTTAATGTTTGATTCAAACAAAGATTCAAAGATGGTTTGAACAAAGGTTGAGCCTTCTTTAAGGAGTTTAGAACCTTATGCAAAAGCATATTGAAATAGGTTAACACTAGGTTCGAACAATAGTAGGAGGTTAATTTTTTTAAAAAAAAAAGGCTAGAATGTTTAAAATAGATTCGAAAAAAATTTGAGTCCTCTTTTAACCAGACTTGAACTAGTTAAACAAGATTCAAATTAAAATTGAACAAAGTTGGAACCAAATTTAAACAAGATTTGATGCAAACTTGAAACTATTTAAACTTTTCCTAGAATTTAAATCGATGTTTCATCAGGTTCTACATTTGCATGTCTATCAAACTACCTGAATAACTCATTTTCACAAAAATATTCTTGCTCATAACATCTTAAAATCAATAAATATTCATTTTAATGAAATATCCATAACATTTAAACATAAAAAAACATAGCAATAAAGGTTAAATTTCAATTTTACTCCATTAAAACTTTTTAGCCACCATCATAATGTTCTTATTGTGATATTGGAAGAATAACCACTTAGTCGATGTCTCTTCTTCTTCTTCTTCTTCTTCTTCTTCTCTGAAAGGATCTAGATTCCATTGTAGGATGTTCCTTCCTACAAAGCTCTTAAGGCAATTTCCAACACCGAGTTCATCCATCTTGCTTGATCAGTTGTCAACGGGTATACTGTTGCATTGAATTTAATCCCCAATGACTCCCTATAGGCTTCCAGAAAAAATAAAAGATTCTCATCTTAGATATGTTGGACCTCCCTCAGCAATGGCAACTCAGAAAGTAGGTTATATGTCTAAAAAATTTGAATTTCTCTTATTTGGGATTGCCCTACGTCTGATATCGGCTTCCCAATCTCATGAACTTTCTAGACATCCAATATCAGTCCTGCTGGCACTCCTCTCAATATCAACAAAACGGTAGCTCGAGGCACCACTATCTCATTCCCTGCATGAATACTTATACTTCAATTCAGTTGGAGTCTCTCTCTCGGGTTCAACTCGAATCACTGGCGTCTCTTCCTCATTGGTAGAAAGTTGAAAATCATCTTTAAAATCTTCATCTTCTCCTGGATCACTATTCATTTCTTCAACCGCTCCCTGACCAGTGAAAGTGATCAATCTCCTGGTTGTGCAACCAAATTCATTATGCCCAACCCCATAACACCTGAAGCACTTCTTGGCTATGATGGATTTAAGAATGCAGCTTGGTTCTATCTATTATCCATTATGTATCAGTTGTTCCTATGATAGGGTCATCATGGATATTCTCCTGGGTGTATTATGGTTGTAAAATCCTAAGCTTGAACTTTGCCTGTAAAATATCTCAGTTGCCCAGTGACACGATCTCTCTACTTTTGAAGCTATGGTCTGAACATTGTCTATAGTTAGTCGGTAGGAACTAGTGTTGCATTTCCAGCTTCATCTTAGACCAAGGAGTAATCTTATATTTTTCCTAATGCTGAGACATGGACTTTATATTCTCTCTATAGAGACGTCGTGACCAGTCTTCTTCATTGCTAATATTCTCCTTATGGAAGGGATCCAGATTCTCATCTCTTTCAACCCTTCGACTCTCCAAATCTCGGTCCAAAGTAATCCCCCCTAGGTCCCGTCATCAAATTTTGCATGCCTCTGTTGAAGGCGATGGCTCTCCAGCTATATCTCATCTCGAGTAGGGTCTGGCATGTATCTCTTTGGTGGCATAACTAGTTTTTAGATATGGGTAGGTGGAAGGAGGCAAAAAAAATTTGATTTAGGGTTGCTGATTTTAAAAAAGTCAACAAGCGAAACTTAGGGTTAGGTCAAATTTTGCATATGTTTTGGGGATATGAAAGAATATTTTTGGGTGAAAGTTGCTTCCGTAGGGGCAGATGCTAGGAAAACCTAAGATAGAACTAGGGTTAAAATACTAGAGTTAACCCAAACAACAATAGGAAAACAAATATTATTGCTTAAAGCAAATAAGTGGTGACATTTAAGCACACTTGAAAGGGAAAATACAACACAAGACACCTCAGAATCAAAAATAGCAAAATGCATAGAAATAATCAAGCTGGGGTGGAATATTGGGGGTGGTGGTAATCGACGAGGATTTGGCCATCCGATGAAGTAGCAAGGAGTGGGTGAAGGTAGAAAGGCGCGGCGCGACAGCGAAAGGTGTGGAAGGCGAAAGCGAAGGGGAGGATTTACAACAAGGGCAGCAAACTGGAAAGAGCGGAATGGATGGCTGGGAAGCTGAAACAACAGAAAACAGTAGTTTATAGGCGGCTACAGTGAGGGGAATGCCGGTGGAAGCAACGGGGGATGTGGATAACTGCAGGACAGCATGAGGAAGGTTGCCAGGGTGGTGACAGCGAGGAAAGGTGGGTGAATTGAAAAAAGCAAGGTGTGGCTGCATAAATGGAGGGTGATTGGGAGAAAGAATGTGGAAAATGATAGGGAAGATAAACACCGCCTCAGAGAAGAGATACGGTAAGAGTACCACCCAAACCCTCGGATACAGTCCTCAAAAGGAGAAACAGATGTCAGTGTCTGTCCTGACAAAAATCTGAGCTAAAACTGAATTTTAAATTCTTATACGACACATATATAGAAAGGACAAAAGGATGAAAGAATAATATAAAAAAAAGCATAAAAAAGAAAAACAAGACTGTTTCGGCCGTCTCCTGCAATTGTAAAATCCAGCGGTACAGTAGTAGTTATAGTAAAAATCCGTAATAAGCTCCCGTGTTAGGTTCGCGGGATCAATCTTTTCCTTGAGCTTTGATTGTTGTTCGATTTCGTTCATGAGATCTCCAGAGCAATCCAAAGTTGTATCAATCTTTCTGCTGCTATGTATAAAGCAATTCATTGCAAATATTAGGAATTAGTTACACCCACTTGACTAGATAGTGCCAAATCCTCGACAGAATTACAGAGTGGTGCTTTAGCAAGAATCAAAGATGGATTATTCAAGGCTCAAAAATAGAAAACTTATGGCTCTTCTTGATAAATCCTTTTCCTGTGAAGGAGAGGACGGTCCTACAAGGATTTTCTGCTGCAATGAGAGGAGGTATAGTATTTATTTATCCAAGAGAAGTGTACTTGAAACAAGTCAATAAACAATTTTTGCTCAAAATAGTAAGAAGTGGTATGCATTATCTCAGCCTTTATTTACTTGCTTGCTTAACTTATTCCACTGTAAATTCAAGTCCTACACATGAATACAACTTCTAGCAATGCAGTTAACTTTTTATAGCATACTATAGAGTTGAATTAAATAACTTGTTACTTAATCTTTTCTCAGTCGCGCTCCAAGCACCTTTTCATCTATCACCAAAATCACACATTTGTGTACAATGAAGTCTTTAAATATGTTTTGCTTATTATAAGGGGGTGTTGGAATAGGTTGGAAAAACTCTAGGGGTTGTGTACCAATTAGAATAGATAACAAACAAAAGGACAATGGAAGTAAATTGTATGCACCCATAATCATGCCAGAAATTAGAAAGTTATGCTACGAAGATTACTAAACTGACAAGAACAAGTACAGAATCGGTGAAAAAAAAAACTAAAAAAAGCCTTTTGTTACTCAGACCAAGCATTCCAAATACAATTTGTTAATAAAATGTGAACTTGATAATAACCTGATGGAATAGAAGTTGAAGCAGGCCCTGGAACAGCAGCAGGAGCAGCAGCCGTATCCAGTTTCACAATGCCTTGGTTACTTGTCATATTTCCAATCAAAGGATGACTTAAAGCAGCTCTGCCGTCCATAAAATTCTCAGAGATCAAAACAGTAAAATGAGAGTTCTTAACATTATCAGCAGTTGGATCTGCAGCCCGAGAATTGCGCCTTCCCTGCACCATTAGATAAAAATTGCATATATGAACTTTTGTTTTTACTGCTTTTGTCTAATAATCAGCATCAACATCTTTAACCTTATCCTAAGTTGTTAGTTTCATGAGTCCTCATTTTCCATTCTTCATATTGAGTGTTTTAAACTTATTATTGATAAATCATGTTGAGCTAATTTCATTCATGAAACCATAGGTTTGCCCCTTCTTCCTAATTCATTGACATTGGTTTATCTACGCATCTAATTTATGCATTTCAGCCCTTTGTTATATACGTCCAAATCACCTAATGTCTATAGTTAATTATCTTATCTTCAATTAATGCCGCTCCAATTGTTCCTCTAGAGTATTTTTTTTTATTATTATTATTGCTAACTTTGCAAAACATACATCTTAACGTTATCTTATGCTACAGCTAAATTTAGATGTCAACAAATTTTTGTCGCAACACTCAAATTCACAAAACATCAAAGACTTCAGAACCTTAGAAAATCAACATTTAAGTCTCTCAAATATCCTCTCTTATATCATAATACTTCTAAGACACTTTCTCATTTCATCCTAACATCAAAAAGATAGAACCTCGTCAATATTCTTATTATTCATATAATAGATCCAAGATACTTAAGCCCATCATACATAAAAAATCACATTATCTTCTACTTATATTAGGTAATGGTTCTTAAAATTACATTCATTAAAATTATAGAAGATTTATATAAATACCACTCAATTCTTACAGATTTACATACTTAACACCCAAACTTAAATTTTTAGATACATACAACCTTACCAGCAGCCTAGGAAAAGATGTATTTCACTTTCTAAAAGTCAAAATGGTAGTCTTTTTAATGTGATATGAATGATTTGAACGTAAATGTTAAAAAACAAAGTTTAAGTGTAAGATAAGTAAATCCATAGGAATTAGGTGGTATGCATGTAAATGCCCCTAAAATTATATATCATGTAACGAGTCCCTCCTTCCCTACCTCTTGTCCGCAGTGGTGCCCACTCTCTCCAATCATGGAAGAGAGCTTAAGAAACACAGATCAATGCCTTCTATCAATCAATCAATTTTTCTATGGACAACAGATTACAATTTGTGTGCTTTCCTTTAAAGTCGTTGAGCCCTTCTTAATTTTATAAACTTATCCTCTAATAAAAATCCAATAAAAATTATGTAAAGCTTTTTCCATTGCTTTATTTTTATGCATGATATCATAAAATGGTTATAGTTTTCTTCCAATCCTTATTTTCTTTCTCTAACGTTAGGATTACCTAATTTCAATATTATTCCCCTTACCAGATTCTCCTTCTTAAGCCTCCCCTCTTATAAAAAAAAAAAAGCAATAAATATTCTGGAGAGGTTTTTTTCCATTGCTTTATTTTATGGATGTAACCATAGCAAGGTTATGATTTTCTTTCAATGTTTAGTAATTTTCTCTAAAGTGAGGATTTCTTACTTTCAGTATTATTCCTCTTATCAGATTCTCCTTCTACTCATTGTGAATAGGTTCTTTAGCTTCCTTTTAAAAGAATTGATCATAATTAGTGGTGAAAACAGCACAATGAAAGAACCCTAGAATAGCCAGCATCATATCACTTAAAATAGTAAAAATTTCCTTAAATTATCTCAAATAGTAAAGGTCTTTATGAAAGGAAAACGAAAGCTCCAACATCTTGTGGATCAACCAACAGAGCCTAAAGACATAATTTTGCACTTTGCAAAGAAATTAATTCAATCGTCATGACATGGTTGTAGAACACTATGATACTGAAGATAAGTAGCCTAAGGATTTGAAGTTTGTACTTCGCGAAGGAGCGGATTTGATGAACATGATATGGTTGAAGAACAATATACTACCGAAGATCAGTGGATCACTACAGAAGAGATTTAAGATATATATAAACAAACAAATTCAAAAGTTGTTGCACTTAACTATTAAATCAAGGCAAAGCACACCCCTATCAAATAAGGTAACATCCCTGTCATTGAATACTTTAATGTCATGAAAGATTACTAATTGAAGTTAGACTACTATCAACATCTCAAGGGTCATTGTTTGAGAATGTAGTGATCCTAAAATAATTTGTGGAACGAGAAAGAATTTGAGTTTTTGGTAGGACACAACAACGTATTTGAGCAAAACAAAATCCAAATTTAAAAAAGCAAAAATGTTCATTCATTGAAAATATTTTCTCGTATGAGACTAAAAACAGAAGAATGATGTAATCATCAATAGTTTGTGTTGACTTCATTTTCGAGTGAGGTCTTTACTTCTTTCCTTAGAGCCTAGGGTCTAGCCTTAGATGTTCCTTGTTGACCCTTTTAGAGGACTAGTCCTAGGACCCACACCGCTTAGAAAATTAAAGCCACTCCTTTACTCCTTCGAGTCTGATACGAGCGGTTCTGAATTCTCGGCATTTTTGCTGAGTTCATTAGAACCGACATATGAAACTCAAGATAAGATCCTACATGAGTAGGAGCAGCCCCTAGGGAAATCCTTAATAACTCGAGCACTCGCGGACGCCACAATTTTCGCAACCACTAAACCACGCACGACATTAACTTGAACTAAACTGACCTTCAACGAGCTTGTCCGGACGACCCCGGATGACAAAATAGACCGCATAAGCGCGTCTGAAACGTCGATTTTACCTGAAAAAACTCTCAAATTGGTATGGTTTCGCGCGCAGGTAAATGGCACCGAAATTGATGCACGTGCTTATTTAAATAAAAGGTACAAGTCCAGGCACAGGCCAGGTTCAATACGAGTTGGAAATGGGTTGAACACAAGCTAAATAATTTCAAATTTCAAATTTTTAAAATTTCAAAAGAGTCATTTAATCCCACCATAATTGAATTCATTTAGAAATTATTATTAGCCAAATTTTACTCTCCCCCATACATTAAAGTTAATCAATTCTCTGCCCAATGTAGCGTAACAAAATTTTTGGAATTCCCGGGATACAAATCCCGCTCCGCTTGTCTCCTCCTTGATTCGGCCCCCTTTCTTCCCCCGCTCACCTCCTCTCTTCTGCATCGAAACCCTTACATGCTTGGTTGCCCCCTCTCACGAGCTCCTCCTCTGCGCCAAGGACCTCCGCTTGCCTCTCCTCTACGTCGAGGACTCCGTTCGACTCCATCAAAACCCTCGATTGGCATACGAGCTCTTCTCCTCCTGCTTCACCTTCTCATCCCACTGAAGCCCTCGCCTCCCTGGATCGAAGCCCTAGTCGACCTCCTTTTCTTCCTCGCTACTCCCGTTCCTCCTCGTTCTCCAGCCGAAATAAAAATTTTTTTTCTGCTTTGGTATGTGTCTGTCTATGCCAGCTTTCCTCATTTTGTTTGGTTTTAACTTTCCATTTGGTTAAATTGCGAGATTTGCATCCTATAACAGAGGTATGTTGCTTTTAGTGCCTATGTATTTATTTACATGACCTACATTTGTGATCTTTTGGTATGTCGTGAAGGATATGGGTGTTATAAACGTGACATTTTCGAATGTTAGATACACAAATACATAAGAATTGGGTGTTCGCTCTGCGAAAGACAAATTTGAGGGTTATAACTATTTGATGGCATTTGTCCTCAGTCGTGCTTTTCTTTTCTTTTAAGGGACATTTTAGTTGTGGCTCTCAGATCTTTTTTTGGAAGCTTTTTCATATAAGTATTTTGTGGAGCTGATTAATAAAGTTGTTGCTGAGTTGCAAGGCATTTGCATGCTTACCATCCAAATTTCCACGCTTACATACATACCACTCAATTCATATATGTTTGTATATCTAGCACCTAGATTTTGTCTCTTTATGTTCATACCACCAACTCCTTATATATATCTACACGTATAACACGTAAATCTCATTTTTACTACATATAAGTCATATCAACACCTTTCTTCACAAGAACTCTCAAAAGGATATCTCTTTGAACTATATCGTAATCTTATTCTAAATCAATAAAAACCATATGTAAATCCTCCTTATTATCTCTAAACTTCTCCATCAAACCTCTCAATAAATGTATAGGTCCCATAGTTGACCTGTCCGGCATAAATCCAAATTGATTATGAGAAATTTTAGTAATACGTTTTAATATATGTTCAATTACTCTCCCATAATTTTAATATATGACACATCAACTCAATTCCTCTATAATTTACATTTTATTGCGCATCCCCTTTATTCTTAAAAAATGGGACAAAAATACTCTTCGTCTACTCCTTAAGCATCTTCTTAGTTTTTAAAATAATATTAAAGAATTTAGTAAGTCAAGAACCTCCCAAATCTCCTAAATATTTCCACATTTCAATTGGAATATCATCAGGTCCTACTGACTTTCCACCTTTGGTTTTCTTTCTTTAAAGCCTCCTCTTAAAGCCTCCTCAACTTCTTTACTAATGTGACGGTAAAAAAGAAATATTTTATTATTATTAACCATATTAAGATCACTAAGTTCAATCGTATTTTCCGAAACTTCATTAAAAAGTTTATCAAAATAACTCACCCACCTATTTTGAACATCTTTTCTAAGAAAAACATTTTTTTATTTTCACCTTTAATATACTTTACTTGAGTTAAATCTTTACTTTTCTTTTTCCTTTGTTTGGCTAGTTTATACATATATTTTTCACCTTCCCTAATATCTAATATACTATAAAATTCACTAAAAGCAGATATTTTAGCGTAACAGATTATTCTCTTAGACTCTCTACAGGCCGTTTGATATTTTTCCCAATTCGCTAAGCTTTTACATTTAAACTAATTTTTATAACATAACTTATTATATTTTATCTTTTCTTGCATATTATTATTGCAACACCAGCTTTTTTTATAAAATTTTGCAACACCAACTTTTTTTATAGAATTTTTTTTTCTTTTGATTCTTCAAATACAATTTTTGTCACTTGTTTAACAGTGTTTTTTACTCCATCCCAAATAGAATTTGCATCTTCATGAACATCTCAAATTTTAAAATGTTGAATTTTACTAATAAAAATAAT